TGGACCTCAGAGCAAGTGTTTATTTTTTGCACTTCTCCTTTGGATCAGGATAGAAAGCATTTCTCAGCCGTTCCCTCCTGCCTGGGCTGTCTCAGCTATCACTGCCTGTAATCCTCACCATGATAACATGGATTGGACATGCAGCCCACCCCCAGAAGGGTTTTTTTTTTTCTGGGTAAATGTGTTTATTCCTCCTGTGCTCTCCAAATGAGCACTGTCAGCTTCCAGCCTACCATGGCAGGCTATAGACATGGGGGATATGAGTCTTTCTCATGATGTGTTTTCTTTTCCCATTTTGTGAATTGGGATAGAGGGGAGAAAGGTGAATGAAGGTGATGATAAAGGCTGAGGCTCAATTTGACAATTCTCCAAGTTACATGGATTAAAAGAAAATCCTGTTGTCAGTCCTCTGGACTTTTGAAGGTACACAGATGCCAATGGAAAGTCTCCCAATTAAATTTAAATGGAAGTATTTTATTCTTTTTTTTTCCTCCTTCCTTTACCCTCCACTGTGTTAAGAGAGGTTTTGGTGACCTAGAAGCAAAACAACTCTTTTAAATTCAGGAGTTTACCTACCTGAGTCACTAATGAATGGCTGCCGTAGGCAAAATCCTTCCTTCAGGCTGCACAGTGAAGTGAGGCAGCTCAGTGCTGAATTCATTGCTGCTCGACTAAAAGTACTGCTCACTATTCCTGTTGTCTTGAGAACAGCTYCCTGAATTCAGAAGGCACTTTTGCATTATTAAAGTGATAATATTTTTAGCTTCTGTTGTTCTGGACTGCGTTTGTGGCCATCTCAGACCTGGCTGAGGTCTCCCCTGCCAGTCCCCCTTTGCACCTCTTGCCTTTCTGATGGTGGCWGTCACCTCTCAGTGTTTGTCAGGGGATTCTGTTTCAACTTTTACACTGCCCTAACAGCTGTAATTGATAATTGTCTCTGCTCTGATAGCTCCTTCTCCTGCCCCAACAACCCAGGCTCATTCATCATCTGAGCACAGAGTGTTTATTCCACCTCACAATGRCACAAAACCTGCTCAGGGAACAGCCACACCTTTTGATTCTGGTGCATTCAACATGTTTGCCTTTTTTGGTGCTTTATCTTGTACCTTCACAGATGGTTTTGGTCGTTTYACTGCATGTGCTGATGAATAGAAATCTGGAATGGTGTCCTCATGGTTGCRTAAGAGACAGGGTCTGAATGTACACAACATGTTCTGCAAAAGCACAATTTTCTGCATTAGGTACTTTTG